CCCTGTAATAAACCACGAGTGTACTTCTCAGTGAGTTCTGTGACTCCTTCTAGCAAATTGTCCAACCTGAGGGTAGTTTTGGGAAGCCCCTGAACTTACTGTTGGTGTTAGAATTGAGGGAAGTCTTGTGACGACAGTTCCCTCAGACCTTGCAGTTCAGCAAACTCCACTGTGATTACCCTGCACTACCCCCAAAACCCTCAGGAAAATCTACTTCATGCAACAGTCTTATATTAGCAGTGCTTTGGGGGAATCGAGGGGAGACCCAATATGGGAGAAAGCAGTTTAAACAAAAGAACTCTGCCTCAGGAAGTAAGAGAGACTATGGCAGCTAAGTGACAGCAGGTCCCAGATCATAAAATGAGTCCCCACCCCCAACCCCACAGAAAAACCTTGGAAATACATTGGGTAAAGCTCTGATCTTTCTGTCATGACTCATCCTTCTTTATTTAGTTAAAGAGCAATCCCCCAGCCCTCCCATCCCACCAATAAGAGTAGAGGATCTGAAGGGTTCTGAAGGGTAGATTATGAGGTTGTAATGAAACCAGGCATAATAATATCTAAGAACCTAAAACCCTTGTTTTTGATGGACCTTAAATTCTGAAATGAAATACATACAAATTTTTTTTATTTAATTTTGAGAGAAAGAGATAAAATGCGAGAGGGGGAGGGGCAGAGAGAGAGGGAGACACCGAATCCAAAGCAGGCTTCAGGCTCCGAGCTGTCAGCACAGAGCCCTACATGGGGCTGGAACTCATGAACCACGAGATCATGACCTGAGCCTTAGTCGGACCCTTAACCAACTGAGCCACTCAGGCACCCAACATACAAATATTTCTTAAAACCATGTGCAAAACATGCACCATAGTGGAGACTCAATAGATGTCTTTTGAGCAAGAGAAGTGAGTGAAAAGGTAAATGTATGAAAAAACAGTTTATTCTCAATGGCACAGACTAATTTGGTTAGGGAGAATATAAATAACTAAAATAGGTAATTCACAAAATTAATGAGTAACCTCAAACTTCTCAGACTTTTCAGAAGTCCTCATAAGAGAGGCAAACAGGCAGTAAAAGTAACTGTTTTTCCAGCTGGCCTTTGCTTGCTGCACCAGAACTTCCAAGTAACGGTAAAATTCCCCAAATGCCCTTTTGACCACCAAGGGCAAAAGAAAGAGTCTTATAGCCCATAAATAGGATTCTCGGGCCCTGCTCCCCTAAACATATAAGATGAAAAGTTATGCAATGAAAAACAGGACTGATGTTTTTATTCCTCTCTAAGCTATTGTCATGCAACATTTGTCACAACCATCTTTGACTGTTGACTAGGGCCACAGGTGGTTGGCCCTAGCTAGTATATCAGGAATATAACTGAAGTTTCAGTGTCTTTTATACACATTTCAGCAACAAGAGCAGCCATGTAATACCAAGCTGCAGGCTGCAGGCGTTCCTTACGTTTATGCTCTTAATTTACTTGCCACTAATGGACTCCTTGAACCTCATGAGTCCTTCATTTCCCAATAGAAGCAAATCTTGAGAGTTTCTAGTTTAAATTGCGGCTACTACTGCCTTCCCAAGACTGGATGGGGTACAAATAAAACTGGGTACGCTTTTCTCCTCCACTGCTCAGTAACCAAATCAATAGAGGGAGATCCAGTGGCAGAAAAAGAGAAGATTGTGGTAGATTCTGAGACGAAGTGGCCAGAGCCAGAGCTGAAAAGTTTAGCACAAGCAATTTGGTTCGAAAAGCAGTGAAAAGCTTGGAAAGAGAACCCACAGGAAATAAAGCTTGACTGTCAGAGACTGCTTGATTGTTGTGTAAATTAGTACAGACTTTCGGGAGGGCAATTTGTCCATTAAGAATCAAAAGCCTTGAAATTGTGCATACACTTTGATCCCATAACTCTGCTTCTAGAACTTTATCCTGAGAGATAATCACATATGTGTGCAAACATTTAGTTACAAAGTTATTTATCACAGAAGTGTTTATATGAGCAAAAAAATAAACAACCAAAATGTTCAACATTGGGGATTAAATAAACTATGTACACAGCAAAATAAGACTTAACCATTAAATATGTTGTGATAAAAAGGAAAAGATATTTATAATAGTTAAGTAAAAAAATACAAAATAGGATATATAGTGTGCTCCCATTTTGTAATTAGAGAAAAAAAAGATGCTACACAGATCAAAATTTAACAGCAATTATCCAAGTGGGGAGAGCTGTAGTAATTTTTGTTGTCTGCTTTGTGTTTAGTTGGGCTTTTAATTTCTCTATGCATCAGTTTTGCAGGAAGAAAAAAGTTTTTCTAATTTCTAATAGGAAAAAATAGTCTTTACAACAAACCAGAAGTGTTCATTGGAGTTTTTAAAGTTGCAAGGTGCTGAGTTGTCAGGTTATCTCAAATTATGATGGAATAAATTATAAGAATGCAGTGGATAAGGAGGGAGTTTATAATAAGAAGTCACTGGAAATAAGGATAGGAACATCATGAGGAGCCCAGGAAGTTGCACAGCCCAGCCTGGCAAAAGCAGTTCGAAGGTTTGAGAGCTGATCTAGGAATGGGGTTACCTCTTTGCCCCTCCAGGTCAAGTAGTCGAAATTAATCTCCTCTTTGGTGACTCACATGCTCTATCTCTGCTTCCATGGCCCTTGACATAGCTCATCAGCCACCTCACCCTCTTCTCTGCTTGTCTTTCCTGCCTTGTTCTCAAAATGTCTGCCTCCTCATGACCATGATTTAGTCAGAGACTCTCAAGGAGCCGACTGCCTCATGGCAGCTTCTTTACGTGTCAGCTAATTGACCCTTTCCACATATCTCAGTTCTGTCTAGTCCATGGGCTTGGTCACCTGGGACTTGGGTGCCCACTTCTGCTCCAAACAGCCATGAGGAAGGGAAAGGTCAAATTATGGCTGCCTGTGATCAGTGGCTTCTTAATTGACCAGTTTTCCTTGTAAGAAAACTATGAATGTCAAGGCATCACAACTGACCTACCAGCATGGGCCAGAGCCAGTATTTCAAACACCGTATTGCCTGCAACTTTGGTGTCCATGAAGTATTGTTTTGGCAAAAGGAAAGTTTTCATGTTCAAATAGTCTTAGGAGTTCCTACAAACTCAGTCCCCTCCTATAGTCATAATACAAATTAGTATATTAAAAGCTATTGAGGGTTTCTATAGGAAAGATACCCGCTTCATTTTGTTCAAAGCAAAGTTTCCCAAAGTTATTTGAGCATAGCCTGCTTTTTCTTTTTTCTGAAACACCTACCTAATACCAATTAACCATGGGACCCAGTTTAAGAGTTACTGCTATAGATCAAGCGATGTTTCAGAAGGAAAGAACAATTAACAATGATATTTGTTCCATTTTTCTATGCCTTTATTATCATCATAAATTATTTGGTTAATCAAAAGCTTCCATGTTCAGCAGAAGAATTACCTTGAAAACATTTGACAAGCCTAGATCCATTCCTACTAAAAAAATCAGGAGTTATTAAACATATTAGTGAAATAAAAGCAGCTTTCAATTACGAAGGTCCTCTCAGGGATATAGAACTTCTTAATTAAACAAATAAACAATTGGCCTGGGAAATGAACTTGTAAACAGAATGTAGTTTATGAGTTTGTTGGGTTTTCGGCCACTGTAGATAGTCCATAACATTAAAATCTAGAATGATCTGAGAGAATGGCTGAAAGGTCTGCAGTCAGAAAGAGATTTAGAGAAATGGGGCCCAGGAAATGGAGTTACAAGCAGCAGGTTATTTAAATAGGTGCAATTCTGAGGTGGTTAGCAGCTGGCTGGCTGCTGTATGTTGTGTGTGTGTGTGTGTGTGTGTGTGTGTGTGTGTGTGCGCGCGCACGTGCCAGTTCACCATGACTTTGGCCTGGATTCTGTGCTGATCCAACTCAGATCCCTCTGACTCAGTCCAGACTGCTAGGGCTGTAATCCCAGGTCACCAGAATCAGAAGTGGTTAGAACACTCAGGTCTTGCTGTGAAAGAAGGGCATGGAACTACAAGACAAGTAAAATGCTTGCTGCCTATTTTGCTATTTTTGTTTTTGTTTTGCTTTTTATCTTTTTTAAGCAAAGCCCTCCTGCCCATACATAAGTAGATGAAGCTTTAAAAGCCTGTTCAAGTAACCAAACCAGGTCAAAGATGACCATTCACATTACTTTTTTTTTATATGCAGGGATTTTAAGGTGGAAGCCCTCAAGGAGAGAGGGAAGGAGGAAGGAGGGAAAGAAAAGAAATAGAATAGAAACGGAGCCAAAATATATATCAACCCAAAGAATCCCAATAGTGATAATAATTTTTAATTAAAGTATCTGATTATTTTTTATCTGCAAAACAAAAATGTCTTATGTCTCAACCTAATAATAATAGCTACTGTTATCACACATTTATTATATGCCAGCACTATACACAGTTTATCCATTGTAGCATTTTATTCTTATTATACCTCTTCGGGACAGATACAGATACACAATCCCTCATTTATAATTCCTAAATCCCAAAGCTCTGAAAACTCAAAGTTTTTTAATAAGTCTATAGCAAACTCACTTGGCGGCAAAACCTGACTTGACCTGATATGAAGCTACTTGTATTATTTATTTAACCCATTTAGTGTACATTTTGCTACAGAGATATTAATATGTGTCATTAGAGGATAATGTCCCAAACCCCTCTTAAGGTTCTATACAATAAATGATACATGAGCTTTATTACTTTTCTAAAATACTAAAAATCCCAAATTGTGAAACTCATTTGGCTCCAAGAGTTTCACAGAAGGGATTGTTTCTCCCTGTTTTACAGATAAGGAAACAGGTCTTTGCTGATAATATTATCCTGGTATTTTAGTTTGGGTCCTTGAGACTTTACTTTTCAATTAATGTTTTAAAATTTTTTTTCTCTACACTATTTCAGTTCACATATCATGTATCACTGACGCAATTTTAGCAAATTCTCCTAGAGAAACATTTTAAAAGACATCTTTTTTCCCCAAAATGGAAAACGCTGACATCCTCAGAAAATTTCCTTGAACCCAACTGAACTCATTTTTAATTCCCCACCCTTCATTTTCAGATTACTCAGTGTATTTAATGCTACCCTTCCTCAATTCCACCCAAAGCCCGCACAGCGATGTTAAGGGTATTGGTTAAGAACCCGTCGAGGAGTCTGCATGGGCCTGAGGCACTGCTAAGCATTCTGACATCTGTGGTTAGAGTGTCTACGTGAAGATTACCCATACTAGGCTCCAGTGTTTCAATCACAACCCCAGAATGAGCGCCTGGTCACTCTGTGGTCTAAACTCTGAGAGAGGAGAGCATTTCATACTACACTGTATTTCGTAAACAATGATTTGATACATTGAAGAAACCATAAATATTATTTATCTTACCATAGGCCTCAGAATGTCCAAACACCACAGCCAGTTAGGGTTCAATAATAGATTCAATAAGCTGAAGCCTGTTTTTCTGGTTTATCGTAACAAGTAAAGCAATGGTCATTACTTTCTAATTTGTAAGCGTTCTGTTCGACAGCTCTGAGTGGGACGTGTGTAGCATTGCTCGTCCAATAGGAGGCCTTGCCACCTTCTAAAGCCAGCACTAAGCTACATCTGTTGCCATTTGTGGTACTTTTTCCATTTGTTGAAGCACATTATTTGTTAAAACCAAAAGACCATATTCGAATACAGATGGTGCTTTTGCTAAAATAGAGAAGGCCATTTTTTTCTAACCAGCAAAAAGAAGAATTTGGTAACAGGAAATTAGTGAGAATTTCTCGTTTGATTAGTCTTTCCCCAGCAGCTGGCACTTAGAAAGATCTTAGTTCACATGCTACGGATGAAAATAAAGTTGATGCTATGAAGCACTGGTAACACACACTGGAACATCTCACAGTAGCACAGGTGAAACCTTTTAATCAAGGCCCCCTACACCAAGGTTTCTCAATCTCAGTACTGTTGACTTTTGGGGGTAGAAAAGTCCTTGTCATAAGGGTTGTCCTTGTGCCTTGCAGGATATCAGCAGCATCCCTGGCCTCTACCCACTAGATGCCAGTAGCATCCTCCTCACCAGTCATGACCACCAAAAATGTCTCCAGAGAAGGGAGACTTCTGGCAAAGACGGCAGAATAGGAGGGCTCTGGGCTCACCCTGTCCCCACAAATACAACTAGATAACACTCAGATAAGTGTGAATAACCCACAGAATGACCTGAAGACTGGCAGAACAAATTCCACAGCTAAATGTAGAGAAGAGACCACATGCAAAGACAGAGGGGCTGAATTTTGTGAGTTCGTACAACCTGAGGGACTTAAAGCGCTAGAACTTTCAAAATCAGTGGGGTTGGCTCTGGGAGAGTCTGGAAGGCAATCAGAAGCTGAGCCCCTGCCCTTAAGAAGACAGGACGACAAACAGCCACAAAGATACAGCATAGAAGCAGCAGTTGGAAAAACACCCGGGGCATTTAGGAAGGAGAGTTACTGATCTCAGAGTTCACTGAAGGACACTCAGGGAACAAAGGAGCTGACAGGCCTCATCTTCCTCCCCTGTCCCACATAAACACACAGCCACCTGTGGGAACCAGCATGGTACCCAGCATTCATTACCTAACTTGCTTCCACCACAACCTGTTACCTGCAGCTGGGCCTGCCTCAGATCCAAGGCTGTGGGTTCCCTCTACCAGGGAACCTGCAAATGCCTTGCTGGCACATCTTCCAACCTCAAATTCTGCGGGGCTGCAATCACAGCAGTGGAGGCTGGAGGATGCACACACCTTGTTGGAATTACGCCCCCCATCAGCATGCTCTATGGAGTGGCCCCAGCTGCCCTGGTCTCAGCACCACCTAGGCACCCTTGTGGAAGAGAACCAGCACCACCTTGTTAAAAGCGCACACCCTTGAACACTACTTTCAAAAGCAAGAGACTAGCTGACTTTACTAACACATGGAAACAGACACAAAAAGGCAAAATGAGGAGACAGAGGAATATGTCCCACACAGCAAGAGACATGAGCAAAATGGAGATAAGTAATATGCCTTCTAGAGAATTTGAAGTAATGATCATAAAGATACTCACTGTACTTGAGAAAAGAGTTTAGGACATCAAAACCTTAACAGAGACAGAAAAAAGAACCAATCACAGATGAAGAAAACACTAATTGCAATTAAAAATACACTAAATGCAATAAATAGCAGGCTAGATAAAGTAAAAGAATGAGTCAGTGATATAGAGGACACAGTAATGGAAAGTAATCAAGCTCAGCAGGTAAGAGAAAAAAAAATTATGCAGAAGGAGAACAGACTTAGGGAACTCAGTAATTCCATCAAGCATAACACATTATAGGGATCCCAGAGGGAGAAGAGAGAGAAAAAGGAACAGTAAATTTATTTAAAGAAACGATAGCTGAAAACTTCCTGAACTTGGGGAAAGAAACAGAAATTCAGATTCAGGAAGCACAGAGATTCCCTAACAAAATCAACGCAAGGACATCCACACAAGACACATAGTAATTAAGATGGCAAAAAAGCAGTAATAAAATAAAAAGAATTTTAAAAGCAACAAGAGAAAAGAAAATAGTTACTACAAAGAAACCCCATAAGGCTATCAGTGGATTTTTCAACAGAAACTTTGCAGGCCAGAAAGGAGTATGATATCTTAAAAGTGTTGAAAGGAAAACATCTGCAGCCAAGAATATTCTACCCAGTGAGGTTGTCATTCAGAATAGAAGTAGAGATAAAGAGTTTCTCAGACAAACAAAAGTTAAAGGAGTTGGGGTGTCTGGGTGGCTCAGTCAATTGAACGTCCAAATTTGGCTCAGGTCATGAGCCACATGGTTCACAGTTCGTGGGTTTGAGCCCCATATCAGGCTCACAGCTGTCAGTGAGGAGCCCACTTCAGATCCCCTGCCCCCTCTCTCTCTCTGCCCCTCTCCTGCTTGCACTCTCTCTCTCTCTCTAGAATAAATGAACATTTAAAAAAAAGTTAAAGGAGTTCACGACCACTAAACCAGCCCTACAAGAAATGTTAAAGAGGACTCTGTCAGTGGAAAGGAAGACCATAAGTAAGAGTAAGAAAAGTAGGAAGCACAAAAGCAGTAAAAATTGAGTGTATCTATAAAAATGAGTCAAAGGACTCACAAAATAATAGGAATAAAGTATGACACTGTATGCCTAAAACGTGGGGAGAAGAGGAGGAAAGAATGGGTTCAAACTTAAGGATTCATCAACTTAAGATAGACTGCTATGTGCAGAAGATGTTATACACAAATTTAATGGTGACCACAAATCAAAAACCGGTAATATATATGCAAAACATAAAGAGAAAGGAATCCAAGTATATCACTAAAGAAAGCCAACTTATGGTGAGAGGAGAGCTAGGCAAGAAAGGAACAGAGAAGATCTACAAACACAAACTTAAAACATAACAAAATTGCAATAAATACATACCTATCAATAATTATTTTGAATGTCAAATGACTAAATTCTCCTCTCAGAAGACACAGGTTGAGGTACCTGGCTGGCTCAGTCTATAGAGCGTGTGACACTTGATCTCCAGGTTGTGAGTCTGAGCCCCATGTTGGGTGTAGAGCTTACTTTAAAAAATAAAAATAGGGGCTCCTGGGTGGCGCAGTCGGTTAAGCGTCCGACTTCAGCCAGGTCACGATCTCGCGGTCCGTGAGTTCGAGCCCCGCGTCGGGCTCTGGGCTGATGGCTCAGAGCCTGGAGCCTGCTTCCGATTCTGTGACTCCCTCTCTCTCTGCCCCTCCCCCCTTCATGCTCTGTCTCTCTCTGTCCCAAAAATAAATAAACGTTGAAAAAAATAAATAAATAAATAAAATGTATATAAGAAAAGTAAAAAAAAAAAAAAAAAAAAAAAAAAAAAGACATAGGGTGACAGAATGGATAACAAAACAAGACCCATCTATATGCTGCCTACAAGAGACTCACTTTAGATCTAAAGACACATGCAGATAGAAAGTGAGGGGATGGAGAAACATTTATCATGCAAATGAATGTCAAAAGAAAGCCAGAGTAGCAATACTTGTATCAGACAAAAACTAACTTTAAAACAAAGACTAACAAGAAACAAAGAAAGATACCATATAATAATAAAGGGGACAATCCAACAAGAAGACATAACAATTGTAAATATTTATGCACTCAACATGAAAGCACTCAAATACATAAAGCAATTAAGAACAAATATAAAGGAACTAATCAATAATAATACAAGAATAGTCGGGGACTTTAACACCCCACTTACATCAATGGACATATCATCTAAACAGAAAATCAACAAGGAAACAGTGGCTTTAAACAACACACTGGACCAGATGGATTTAATAGATATGTTCCGAACATTCCATCCTGAAACAGCAGAATACACATTCTTTTCAAGTGCACACAGAACATTCTCCGGAATAGATCACATATTAAGCCACAAAACAAGTCTCAATAATTGCAAAAAGACTGAAGTTTGTACCGTGCATCTTTTCTGACAACAATGCTAGGAAACCAGAGATCAACCAAAAGAAAAAATCTGGAAGGAGCACAAATACATCAAGGTTAAATAACATGCTACTACACCATGAATGGGTCAACCAAGAAATCAAAGAGGAAATCAAAAAATACATAAAGACAAATGAACATGAAAACACATGGCTACCTCAAAAAGCAAGAAAAAAATCTCAAATAAACAACCTAACCTTACACCTGAAGGAGCAAGAAAAAGAACAAACAAAACCCAAAACCAACAGAAGGAAGGAAATAATAAAGATTAGAGCAGAAATAAATGATATAGAAACTAAACAACAACAAAAAAACAATAGAACAGATCAAGAGTTGATTTATTGAAAAGATCAACAAAATTCATAAAACTCTAGCCAGACTTATTAAAAAGGAGAGACTGGGGCACCTGGGTGGCTCAGTCAGTTGAGCGTCTGACTGCGGCTCAGGTCATGATCTCACAACTCGTGAGTTCGAGCCCCATGTCATGCTCTGTGCTGACAGCT